AAGTATTTCAGGCATGGAAAGCCAAAACACTCTGGCCAAAAAAAAAAAAAAAAACTAAATGAAAGATCTCTGCGAGTGAGATCCCAGTGGAAAGAACAGGTCATCAAAGAATGAGGTACCTTTCTCTGAAGGGAGAACAGAACTTCCTCTTTGACTATGACCTTGTCTAAATATCAGAGTCAATGAACTCAAAAGGCCTCCATAGCCTTGGCAACTCATGACAAGAGCCTAGGGTGATTACTGACACCATAAACAAGAATGTCAATCTGTTAAGTCAACAACAGGAGTCACTGTGCACTTACTCCTCATGTAGGATCTCTGTCCTTAATGTGCTGTACATTGTGATTTAATGCTATAACTAGTACTCAAACAGTATTTTACACTTTGTTTCTGTGTGGGTGCAAACTGTTGAAAGCTTTACTTAATATATGCTAAATTGATCTTCTGTATATAAAGATAATTGAAAATGAATCTTGATGTGAATAGAAGGGGAGAAGGAGTGGGAGAGGGGAGGGTTGAGGGTGGGAGGGAAGTTATGGGGGGGGGAAGCCATTGTAATCCATAACCTGTAGTTTGGAAATTTATATTCATTAAATAAAAGTTAGAAAAAAAAGAGACAAGCTACAGGAGCCAGTGTTGTGGTACAAAGGGCTTAGCCAGGGCCTGCAACACCAGCAACACATATGGGGAAGCTGCTTCAAGTGCCATCTGCTCCACTTCCCATGCAGCTCTCTGCTAATGAGCCTGGGAAAGCAGAGGAAGATAGGCCAAGTTCTTGGACACCTGACACCCACATAAAAAACCCAGATAGAGTTCCTGACTTCGGGCTTCAGTCCAGCTCCAGCCATTACAGTCATTTGAGGACTAAACTAGTGAATAGAATATCTCCCTGTCTCTCCCTCTCTCTATAACTCTGCATTTCAAATAAATAAATAAATCTTTTTTAAAAAAGAGAGACTATGTACAGAATGGGAAAAATATTCATAAAATATTCATCTGACAATAAATTAATATCCAGATTATATAAGGAATTCAAACAACTTAATAGCAAACACACAAATAACCCAATTTAAAAACAGCCACGTGAACTCAATGGACATTTCTCGAAAGAAGACATATAAATGACCAACAAGTGTATAAAAAATATTCAAAGAGACACAAAGATGGCAGAGTAGGGAGGGAGCTTACTGCTGTAGTCTAGGGGAATACAGTTTTTAAAAAAATGGAGAGAGTACAATCTCAGGGAAGAGTTAGGGAGGAAATGGCAGAGAAAACTCCGTACAAATTAGAGGAACACTGTGGATCTATGTGGAGGGTGTAGACACGCAGAACTCAGGACTCCAGCTGCTGAGAGCCTCAGCACCAGCTTTGGAGAGAGAGGTGAAACCAGACTGCAGCAGCCCAAAATAAAACTTCAGGAAGATCCTGGCATGAGTCTGTCTTAGAGCCCTGTGTGGAACAGTAAACCTGCCAACCTAGAGGGAATAAAAATGGGTCACATTTCTCTCTCCCTGACCACCCAGTACCAGTATCCTGTAACTAGCCGAGAGGGGGTGGGTGCCATTTTGGACACGTATAACAGCTGCATCAGCTCATATCCATGTGCCAGCAATCAGCTGAGAAGAGATGCTGGAGTCTGGCTGGGAGAACTGACAGGGAGCTGGGTGCTTGTGACTGTGGGAGTCTTGTGTGCCAGGACTGTGAAAACATTGTGGCTGTGTGGGAGGGCGCAGGATGTGTTGGGTCTTTGGGGAGTCACTGTGGGCAGCTCCATAAGCTCAGGACTCCCTGAGTCCTGGTGAAGGTCATTGCTGCAGAATCCATGCTCAGACTGCACAGATCATTTGTGTGGTTCTTAAGGCAGTGTGAACGAATAGTATACCCACTGGGGCTAGTAACCAGGTATTGGTCTCCTTGGAGGAGAGAAGGTGAGTGTGAGACTACACCAACAGAATAGAGTAAACCTCCCCTCTGATTAAAAAATAAAGAAATAAAAGAAGGGGCCGGCACTGTAGCATAGCAGGAGAAGCCACCGCCTGTAGTGCTGGTGTCCCATATGGGTGCCAGTTTGAGTCCAGGCTGCTCCACTTCCAATCTGGCTCTCTGCTGTGGCCTAGGAAGACAGTGGAGGATGGTCCAGGTCCTTGGGCTCCTGCATCCATGTGGAAGACTTGGAGGAGGCTCCAGCCTCCTGGCTTTGGATCGGCATGTCTCCAGCCACTGCGGCCATTTGAGGGATGAACCAGTGGATGGAAGATCTCTCTCTCTATCTATCTATCTATATCTCTCTGCCTCTGCCTCTCTGTTAACTCTGCCTTTCAAATAAATAACAAATCTTTAAAAAAAGGGAGAGAGATTTACCAAGCCCTATTTGGGTGTCACCTTGGACACTCCCCTCACCCTGGAACACTGAACACAGCTCTTCCTTGGCTACACCCAGCACATGCCTTTGCATATTCACTGAAACAGCAGACACTCCACTAACCCATAGAGGCATAGACCAAAGGTAAAAGTCATCATAGGGAACAATAAAAAAAAAAGTATCTCCACAAATGCCTAAAAATAAACACAGCAATTAAAGAAATAAGAATAAGGAAGACGGGCCGGCGCCGTGGCTCAATAGGCTACTCCTCGGCCTTGCAGTGCTGGCACACCAGGTTCTAGTACCAGTCAGGGCACTGGATTCTGTCCCGGTTGCCCCCCGCTTCCAGGCCAGCTCTCTGCTATGGCCCTGGAGTGCAGTGGAGGATGGCCCAAGTCCTTGGGCCCTGCACCCGCATGGGAGACCAGGAGAAGCACCTGGCTCCTGGCTTCGGATCAGCACGATGCGCTGGCCGCAGCGCGTGGGCCATGACGGCCATTGGAGGGTGAACCAATGGCAAAGGAAGACCTTTCTCTCTCTCTCTCTCTCTCTCTCTCTCTCTCTCACTGTCCACTCTGCCTGTCCAAAAAAAAAAAAAAAGAATAAGGAAGACAACATGATGACCCCAAAGGAACACAACAACACTTCAATATTCAAATGTTAAAATGAAGAGAATGAAGAAATGCCAGAAACAGATTTAAAAAATTGAATGAAGGGGCTGGCGCTGTGGTGTAGCAGGTGGAGCTGTGACCTGCAGTGCTGGCATCCCTTATGGGTGCTGGTTTGAGTCCCGGCTGCTCCACTTCCAATCTAGCTTTCTGATATGGCTTGAGAAAGCAGTAGAAGATGTCCCAAGTCCTTGGGCCCTTGCATCCACGTGGAAAGACCTGAAGGAAGCTCCTGGCTCCTGACTTTGGATCAGTGCAGCTCCAGCTGTTATAGCCATTTGGGGAGTGAACCAATGGATGGAAGACCTCTCTCTCTCTCTCTCTCTCTCTCTCTCTCTCTCTTCACTTCTCCTTCTCTCCATGTGTGTAACTCTTTCAAATAAATAAATAAATCTTCAAAAAAATTTGATCATGGGATTACTTAGAAGTAATCAGGAGCAAATCCACAAACTAAAAACCCATACATGACATGAATGAACATTTTTCCCATGAAATCAAGATTTTAAGGGAAATCAAAATGAAATATTGGAAATGAAGAATTCAATAGATCAAATAAAAAATGCTATGGAAAGCCTTAACAACAGATTCAGTGATACAGAAGAAAGAATATCCAAGTTAGAAGACAAATCTCTGGAAATTTTAGTCAGACCAAAAAACAAAAAACCAAGAAATTATAAAACTAAAACACTATTGGGGATTTACAGGATACATTAAACAATCCAACATATGGGTCTTAGGAGTTCCTGAAGGCGTGGAAAGACAGAATGGATTACAAGGCCTATTTAGTGAAATAATTACAAAAAAATTCCCTAATTTGGAGAAAGCAACGGATATCCAAGTACAGGTATCACATAGAACTCCTAATAGACATGACCAGAAAAGAGCCTCACCACAACACATTGTAGTCAAACTCTACACAGTAAAACATAAAGAAAAGATTCTAAAATGTGTACAAGAGAAACACCAGATTACTTTCAGAGGATCTTTAATTAGACTCACAGTGGATTTCTCATGAGAAACCCTACAGGCTATAAGAGAAATGTGAGATATATTCCAAGTCTTAAGAGAAAAAAAAAAAACTGCCAACCCAGAATACTATACCCTACGAAGCTCTCATTTATGAATGAAGGTGAAATAAAGACCTTCCATAACAAACAGAAATTGAAAGAATTTGTCACCACTCATACAGCTTTACAATAGATGCTTAAGGATGTGCTACGCACAGAAATACAAAAACATGGTCATCACCATGAAAGAATGTAAAAGTACAAAGAAAATCCAAAGTAAACAATAGGAATATTTGTGAAACAACAGCAGAGCCGAGTCGTTACTTATCAATAGTCACCTTGAACGTAAATGGTCTCAACTCACCAGTTAAAAGACACACACTGGCTGAATGGATTAAAAAGCAAAACCCATCTATTTATTGCCTAGAAGAAACACATCTCACCAACAAAGATATGTGCAGACTGAAAGTGAAAGAATGGAAAAAGATATTCCATGCTAACAGAAACCAAAGAGCTGCTGTAGCCATCCTAATATCAGACATAACAGACTTTAACACAAAAACTGTTAAAAGAGACAAAGAAGGGCAACTGTGCAATGATTAAGGGATCAATTCAATAGGAAGATGTGACTCTAATATGTACATGCACCTAATTACAGGGTACCTGGTAATTTAAAAGAAATATTAATGAATCTAAAGGGAGACATAGACTCCCATACAATAGTAATGGGGCTTCAATACCCCATTTCAGCAATGAACAGATCAACCAGACAGAAAATTAGCAAGGAAACAAGAGTTAATCAACGCTATAGAACAAATGGACATAAGTGATATCTACAGAACTTTTCACCTACAGTTGCTGAATACACATTCTTCTCACCAGTACATGGAACTTTCTCTAGGATAGATCACATGCTAGGCCATAAAGCAAGTCTCAGAAAATTCAAAAAAATCAAAATCATACCATGCATCTTCTCTGATCACAATGGAATGAAGCTGGAAACCAACGACTCAAGAATCTCTGGAATATAAGCAAACAAATGGAGACTGAACAACATGCTCCCGAATGAAAAAATATTCAACATCACATTAATAAAGAAATGCACTCAAAGTCACAACAAAGTATCAGCTCACCCCAATAGAATGGTTAGTATCAAAAAAAAAGTAAATATATAAACATCAAAAAAGTTAAACATTATGAAAAAACTGTAAAATGTTTACATTTAAACTTTATTTTAAAGGAAAGGAAACATTGAACCTTATAACCAAGCAAAAGCCAGGTCTAGCAAGCATAATGCTAGCCCTAGATTACTTATTGACTTCAAACAAACAAAAATACAAAATATAGTAAAATATAAAAACAACTTCATGTTTTCTAGACCCCAAAAAAGGAATTTTCGACAAATTTAAAGCATGCCTTTCTTAAATTTTGTAATTATTTACTGTGGAATAGCTCAGAATGTCAGCTCTGTTTTAAGGATTGGAATTGATAACTGAACAAGGAAACGCAATTTGGATTATAAAATTCTTGTTTTAATAAAAACTCTTTAAACAGAAAAAAAAATCAACACTTGTGAGGATGCAGAGAAAAGAGAATGCTTATATGCTGTTGGCGGGTATGTAAATTCCAACAATCATTATGAACAACAGTATGGAGGGTCTTCAAAATCTAAAAATAGTACTACCATAGGACCCAGAAATCCCACTTCTGGGAATGGAACCAAGGAAAAGAAATCAGTATGCAGAAGAGACATCTTGCACTCCAGTGTTTAAGGTGGCACTGTTTGTTCACAATAACCAACATATGGAATCAACAGAAGAATGGATAGATAAAATGTGATATTTATTCACAAGCATCTTTCTTATTCAGCCATAAAATACTGAAATATATCATTTGTAGCAACACGGATGAACTTAGAGGAAACTTCTTAAATTAAATAAGTCAGGCACAGAAAGAAAAATACTGCATGCTCTCACTTATATGTGGTAGCTAAAAAAAAAAAATTATTCTCATGGAAGTAGATAGTACAATAGTGTCTACCAGAAGGGGGATAAGAGAACCTAATTAACAGGCACAGGGTACAGTTGAATAGAGAGAATAACTTCTAATGTTCTATAGCATAGTGGGCTTTATACTGTTGAAATCAATTAATTGTATACTGCAAAATAGTTGAGAAGATTTTGAATGTTCCCAACACAATGAAATGATAAATGTTTCAGGTGATGGATACACCAAGTACCTTGATCTGATATCACATGTTATATACATGCAATGAATATCACATTATACCCTATAAAAATGTACAGTTTATGCATCAACTAATTTTTTATTTAAAAAGATAGTTATAAATAGTTATTTCTCTTATGAGGCCAAGTCAGAAGAGTTAAGCTGGAATTTAAATGATGACAGCAGATTTATGTCAACTAGAACTCAGTATTGGAGATCATCATTGAGAGAAATCTGATGAAACAGAACAGAAAGGAGCCAGCCGCATTTTCCAGACATTGTCCTGCCAAGATCTCGTGAATACTTCCCTAGAAAAGAGGCCTAAAACCCAATGGAGTATATCCTTTAAACAGGCTGGCAGGCCTGGTCCCAGAGACAATGGGAAAAAATGCAGCAAACTTGTAGGGCTGATCACAGAGGGAGGTAAGTAGGTGGGGCAACAAAGGGGAAGGAAAGTGAAACTTAAAGATCTAAGTTGGAGAAACTTAAAGATCTAAGTGAAACTTTAAGATCTAAGATGGAGAAAGGCCGGTGGGCAGAGAAGATGCAAGAAAAGGAAGCAGATGAAACAAGGCATCCACCAGAGAAAGGAGGAGAGTGTTTGAATGTCCAAACCCAACCCATGCCAAAAAAACACTAAAAAATCTGTCCCCGAAGTCCTACATTCACTTAGTTCCCTACCTTCCTGAAATTTTTATCCTTAAAATCAGAAGAAGCAGGGGCCGGCGCCATGGCTCACTTGGTTAATCCTCCGCCTGTGGCACCAGCATCCCACATGAGCGCCGGGTTCTAGTCCTGGTTGCTCCTCTTCCAGTCCAGCTCTCTGCTGTGGCCCAGGAAGGCAGTGGAGGATGGCCCAAGTGCTTGGGCACCTGCACCCACGTGGGAGACCAGGAGGAAGCACCTGGCTCCTGGATTCAGATCGGCGGAGCACTGGCCGTAGCAGCCATTTGGGGGGTGAATCAATGGAGGGAAGACCTTTCTCTCTGTCTCTCTCTCTCTCACTGTCTTAACTCTATCTGTCAAATAAAAAAAAATCAGAGGAAGGGCTTACCAGAGTCTAAGAAGGGTGTGAGAGGAAGGGATGAAGAAAACTGAATTAATAGGTACAGAGTACAGTTGAATAGGAAGAACAGCTTCTAATGCTCCGTAGCATAGTGGGCTATTCACTGTTTTGTTTTTCTTTTTTAAAGAGTTATTTATTTGAAAATCAGAGTTACACAGAGAGGCAGGGAGAGGGAGAGAGAGAGAGAGAGGTCTTCCATCCACTGGTTCATTCCCCAAATGGCCACAATGGCCAGAGCTGCGCCAATCTGAAGCCAGGAGCCAGGTGCTTCTTCCCAGTCTCCCATGTGTGTGCAGGGGCAGAAGCACTTGGGCCATCTTCTACTGCTTTCCCAGGCCATAGCAGAGGGCTGGATAGGAAGAGGAACAGCCAGGACTCAAACCAGTGCCCATATGGGATGCTGGCACTGCAGGCGGTGGCTTTACCCTCTACACCACAGTGCTGGCCCCTCTATCTACTGTTGAAATCCATTAATTGTATACTTCAATTAATTGGTCCAGCTGGTTAAGCCACCACTGGGGAGTGGAAAATATCTCTCTCTCTCTCTTTCACTCTGCCTTTCAAATAATTAAGCAAATCTTTAAAAAGAAAATGTGGAGAGAAAAATGTGGATAGATGTGTGTGACAGCAATAACTGGCATAGGCCTCAGAATCAGTCAGCTTCTTCAGAGAGAGAGCCAATGGCCAGAGGCGTCACACAGGAAACCTGGAGTAGTCTGGGTCTCTGACTACTTAACTCATAACTAGACTCACTGAAGAAAAACCGACTCCAACTTCAAAGGCCTTAAGAGGACAAAATGTACACATAGGGAATAATCCTAATAACTTAAGTCTTCCATACTCACTTCATCATGGCAGTAACAAATTCAGATCTCAGTTTTCATGATTTATTCACACTTCCGCCTTCGTTGAGTAATAGTAATATGCTGAACACACAGATTAAACCCAAAATAATAAGGAACCTTGCACCTATCATTCCCAACAAAACAGCCCCATGGAAGGAGTAGAACTCATCTCCTTTGAGGCTATGCTTACATTGAACATTATCCTCTTCATAAGCCTATCATTGTGCAAAAGTGAGAAAACTGCAAAACTATTTTTTTGGAAAGGCAGAGTTACAGAGAGAGAGAGAGACAGAGACAGAGATAGAGAGATATCTTCCATCCACTGGTTCACTCCCAAAATGGCCACAACGGCCAGAGCCGGACTGATCTGAAGCCAGGAGCCAGGAACTTCATCCAGGTCTCCTATGAGAATCCTGAATCCACACGAGTCCAAGACATCTCCCCGACTCTTTCCTGGCATCAGGAAAAGAAAAACATAGAGGCACCGTGCTCCTGGAAAGCCTCACCATTCCCACAATTTGTCCCAACTACAAATCATGCAGATATCCTGTGCCTCCCAGTCCCTATCACTGGCCCAGTTACAAATCAGGCAGCCCCGGAGACCCCCTGTGTCAGAAACACCCTGTCTCACGGTATCTGGTATCCTCTCCAGCTGCTCCAGCCCACACCCCACATCCCTTTGTTCGCCTGCTCCAATTCATCTCCCACCTCTCTCCCTCCTCCCTTGACACAAGTTCCCTATAAAACCCCAGCCTTACACATGAGCCCCAAGCTCATCTCCCTCTGAGGCCATTCCTGGCAGTTCTTTGCCCTACTAAACTTTTCTTTGCTGAGCGTGGTCTTGGTTGTCGTTCTTGGGTGTGGTTGAAAACCCAAACATGTCCCAGGTGGGTGCAGGGGCCCAAGCACTTGGGACATATTCTTGCATTGGCAAGGAGCTGTATCAGAAGTGGAGCAGCCAGGACTCGAACCGGCAGGTGACAGCTTTACCTGCTACACCACAGCACCGCTCCGCAAAACATTTTCAATTGTAAATGAGAGAAGCCAGAGAAAGCTTTTTGTTTTCATTCTTTAACAGAATGAAATTCAAGGTGGAATCAGACACCTATGTTACTCTCCTTTCCATTTTGCTCTACAAACACAGGAAATCTCCTACATACCTTCCTTAACACTCCACCTCACTCTGCATGATGTAACACCAAAAAGAAAGCCTTATATGAAATGTTTTTAAATGTTTTAAAATATTTGCCCTGTTTTCTGGAACAGTTTCAAAATATAGCACCTCAGTGCTGTTAAGTACAAAATTCAAGCCACTGTGTTAATTTTCAGATACACTGAACACAGATTTTCACAGGCCTTAGAATGGAATTTTATGTTTAAAAATCCTTTTGGCTTTCTTCCTAGGAAAAAAAAGAGGAGAAAAGAGGGATTAAAACTAAAACATTGTTTGCACAGTTTGACAAAATCTTTAAAATTTCTCAACATGTATGTCCACGGACTGAGAAATTCTGCTTCGAGAAATTTTCCAAATATATTCGTCCATTTGTAAGAATGCACATATAAAATGAGAATCATTGCTGCATCATCTATACCAGTAGAAACTTGAAATAACCGAAATGTCCTAGCATTGTTTAAATACATAACATCCTTTCCATATTGTTCATCAGTTTAAAAAAATACCATTGATGCATCCATATGTCCTTCCATAAAAAGATGTCCATAATGTACTATTAAGTGGGAAAGCTAATTACAAATCAATTTTAAAGACCTTCACATAGAAGCCTTCCTGATAAATTATACACAACAATGATACCGCATTGAGAAAAACTTCTGTTTCTACTTTACACATTGTCTGCAATGTTTACATTTTTTTACAAGCTTACAACACCTTTGTTAACTTCTTTTTTTAAACACGAAGGCATATAAAAGCCCAAATAAATCTAGCCGCTTGAGAAAAAAAATCATTGGCTTTACATATGCGTGCAATGATAACGGATCCTTATAATTCGCGAAGCCCAAATACATCCCTTAACTACCCAGGAGCTCCGCTGGATGTCTTTCCTAAAGAAAACTCCGCAAATTAGCCCACACTTGCCTCAAGTGCCACGCAAGCGTCAAGCCTCCAATGCTACTTCGCTGCCTGCCCCGCGACAGCTCTGTCGGAGAACGCAGCCGGGAAAGCAGAGCCGCCCGCAGCCAAGGCAGGAGACAGGGCGGGCGCGACCGTGCAGCACCAGGCTCAGCTGTTAGTTCTGCGCTGCGGCGCCAGGCGACCGCGCGCGAGCCTCGCCCCCGCCTCTCGGCTTTCGTTTCCCGCGGAATGGAAAGTGAAACTCAAAGGCAGGCTGGACTGCGGCCGGAGGGCGCGGCGGGCGCTCGCAGCGACTACTTACCGGTCAGCCGGTGGGGACCAGCCCAACTCGCCACGTGTGAGCTAACGCATCGGTGCTGTGTGCCTTTGCGTTTGATTTGTGCTATGGTTTCAGTACTTGCAAATGCCAATTGCTGACGATTCCAAGAGCACACGTTTCTTTTTATTTGACATGTTAAGGTCTCTGCCGCTAGGATGCGTGTTACAACCACTTGACATTTTCTAACCTGTGCGGCAGCGTATTTTTTCTTTCGGAAGATTACGATATACTCTCTTGAATCGGGTATCCATCCCAGGCTTGCAGATTTGATGAAATAGGGCATGTTACCGTCGCGGACTCCCCGCAGGGAAAGGGAGGGCTGGGAAAGGCAATGGATCGGCTGTTTCTCCTCAGAGTTCCTGCTGGGACAGTCTGACAGACCTGTCACTCCCGGGTCCCTACTATGTGCCAGGCTCTCCGTTAATCTGGAAACCTGTTTTTTATCTACACCACAGCCTCTCGATACAAGCCCTATTTTTAAAACAAAATGCAAAGGATAGAAAATTCTAAGTGGTCTAAACAGGACCTGATTCCAGAACCTTCCATCTCTTAAAAAAAATTATTTATTTGAAAGGCAGAGTTACAGAAAGAGGGGGAGAGAGAGAGAGAGAGAGAGAGATCTTCTATACCCTGCTTCACCCCCCAGTTGGCTGCAGTGGCCAGGACGGGTCCAGGCAGAAGCCAGGAGCTTCTTCCCGGTCTCCCATAAGGGTTCAGGGATGAAAGTACTTGCACCATCTTTCACTGCTTTCCCAGGCACATTAGCAGGGAGCTGGATCAGATTCTAATGCACCAGGGCTGATGGATATGGCTTAACCCTCTGCACCACCATGCCAGCCCCAGAATATTCAGTCTTACCCATCAGTCATTTATTTAATTGAAAAGCGGAGTGACAGAGAGAAAGAAATCTTCCAACTTCTGCTTTACTCCCCAAATGGCTGCAACAGCTGGAGCTGAGCCAGGCCACAGCCAGGAGCCTGAAACTCCATCAAGATCTCCTACATAGGTGACACAGGCCCAAGTCCTTGGGTTGTCTTTCATTGCCTTCCCATGTACAATTGCAGGGAGCTGGATAGGAAGAGGAGCAGCTGGGACTCAAAATAAGACTCTAACTTGGGATACTGGCATCGCAAGTGGTTTAACTTGCTACACCAGCCACAATGTGGGTCCCACACTTGTATATCTTTTTGTCATATTATTTTTAAAACATTTATATCTTTTCATAAGTCAAAATGTATGAACAATGAACTGTCACCTCTCCCTTATATATCCCATAATAACCAGTTTATTTATCCTTTCTTTGCTTCTTTCAGTTAAAATGAGAAGTTCCATGTATATTTTTTTAATATTCCAGTATTGCTTATTTTATCACAGTAAAATATACTCTCCATCTCTACAAACTGAGCACAACCATAGTTGCTTACACATCCATACTTTTTTAAATTTTTTATATCCATGTTTTTAATGACAAGCCAACATTATAGTATCCTACATGAAATATTTGGTTTGAAAAAAGTCTTAAAGTTCTTTATTTTGTTTCCTATCTTTTCTCCACCCTTTGAAGACATTTCATGTTAATTGCTGTAAGGTCTATTTCCCAAACACATAAATGATATGGAGGACAGCAGGGAAGAATGCAAGGCTCACCAGGTGTAGCAAAAGAACTGCAAGCTCAACTTTGGCTAATGTCATGAACAACTACGAAGCAAGAGCAGATATATTCCAGGAGGTGGCAGTAGAGCTATGTTCCTATTTATCAGAAGAAAACATGGAAGGTTCTATACATTAGAAACTATTGGCTTTGATGGCCTGTGCTTCTGGGGTCTTTTCCAAGAACTCTTTGCCTATGCCTATGTCTTTCAGAGTTTTCCCAATGTTCTCTAATAATTTGATGGCATCAGGTTATAGATTTAGGTCTTTGATTAGTGTTGAGTGGATTTTTGTGTAAGGTGTAAGGTAGGGGTCTGGCTTCATACTTCTGCATGCAGATCCAGTTTTCCCAGCACCATTTGTTGAAGAGTCTGTCCTTGCTCCAGTGATTGATTTTAGCTCTTTTGTCAAAGATAAGTTGGTTGTGGATTCGTGGATTGATTTCTGGAGTCTCTGTTCTGTTCCATTGGTCTAAATGTGCGTTTTTGCCAGTACCAGGCTATTTTGATTATAATTGCCCTGTAGTATGTCTTGAAATCTGTGATGCCTCCAGCTTTGTGTTTGTTGTATGTTTTCTTTAGTTATTCTGGATCTCTTGTGTTTCCATGTTCTCCCTGATTTGTGGTAACTAAAATTGACACTTTGAGATGCAATGATTTTAAATAGCCCTTGTCTCAACTGTTGAGGAACAGAATTTTTTCCCCTTCATATTATTTGTTGAACTCTTGACTTAGTGCATGGTAAGTCTTAATGAGTATAAAGTTAACCACAAACAGATCTCTATAAAAAATAAGAATGGGAATAGGACAGGGAGGAAGACAAAGGGTAGGAGAGTGGGTGGGAGGGAGGATAGGATAGAAAATATCTCTATGTCCCTGAATCTAATTATATGAAATACATGAAATTTGTATAGTTTAAATAAAATTTTTAAAAAATTAATAAATTCAGGAATGAAAATAAAAAATAAATTTTAAAAAACTATTGGAGGTTATGTTCATGTATGTTTTCTTATTTCCCCTTCTGTTATACACAAGGAAGCTCACCATAGCAATTACACCACTTTGCATTCTTGCTGGTAATGTATACGAGTACCTGTTTGTGCACAGGTTTACCAACTGAGTATTTTATCAGCTTTTAATTTTTTCTAATTTGGTGAGCATGATATGGTGTCTTAGAGTAGTTTTAATTTACATTTCTCTTATTTAGAGTAATATACTTTCAAATGTTTGTTAGGCTGTTTTTCAAAGAATAGAAATTCTTGTTTGTTTATTTTTCATTTTATTTGAAAGCCAGAGAGACAGAGACAGAGAGATAGAAAGAGATCTTCCATCTGCTGGTTGACTCCCAAAATGGCCACAAAAGCCAAGGTTGGGCCAGGCTGAAGTCAGGAGCTCAGAACTCAATCTGAGTTTCCCAAGTAGGTGCCAAGGACTCAAATACTTAAGCCATTACCTACTGCCTCCCAAAGCACACATTTGCAGAAAACTGGAATTGGAAGCAGAGCTAAGACTGAAATTCAGGCAATTCGAGCTGAATCTTAACAGCTATGACAAAAGCCATTCTTCCAGTAGAATTTAAACTGAACTGGAGATATTAGGCACCTTCACCCTTACCTTCTTCCTGACTTTAGTGTAAAGCCCCCGATACGTTATTCCCAAAGTCTTCCAGCAGCTCCATCCCCCTTTACATACCTTAGACATCACCCTTGTGACTTTGCCATTCGTGTTCATTTTTTATTTAAACAGGCAGAGTTAGACAGTGAGAGAGAGATGGAGAGAAAGGCCTTTCTTCTGTTGGTTCACCCCCCAGATGGCTGCTATGGCCGGCACGCTGTGCCAGTCCGAAGCCAGGAGCCAGGTGCTTCTTCCTGGTCTCCCATGCAGGTGCAGGGCCCAAGGACTTGGGCCATCCTCCACTGCACTGCCGGGCTACAGCAGAGAGCTGGACTGGAAGAGGAGCAACCAGGACAGAATCTGGCACCCCAACCGGGACTAGAACCTGGGGTGCCAGTGCCACAGGTGGAGGATTAGCCTATTGAGCCTCGGCTCAGGCCTTGTGTTTATTTCTAACCTACCTCATATAAATCTAGAGGGCAGGAATGTATCCCCCATGATTTCCCCAGACCTAAGCCTTGGCCCAGGGGGTGCATTATATTCTTCCTAATTGGTCATAAACACTCAGGAAGTCCTTTGATTCTGACCTGAAACCCATGAGTAGTACTCACCTCTGTTGAGGGGGAATATACCCACTTCCTGGCAGCTCCTGACCCTAATTGTCAGGTTAGTCCTGGCAG